ACATTGGATAAATTCTTGTGTCACTTCTCCACGAATTTTTAGTTCCATCTGCAACTTAGTCATCTTTTGATTAATAAGTCTGTTCTTCAACTCTTCTATGACACTCAGCAGCCTCTGGAATTACCATTAATGTTAAGTTTTTAATTAAAAAAACGCAAGATTTTTTTCCCAGAAGCAAGATTTTTCCCCATTCACCAACAATGCTCTACTCTTCTAGCTAGCAAAAATTCTTCTAGTTCTTTTATTAGCTCACTCAAACAGGAGGATTCATGACTAGATTGAAATATCTGTTTGGTACTAGCACAGCAATTTATAGGTTTGCACAGAGCAGGCATTGGCAAAGAACATTAAGTTTATTTCAAGAATTCCTGAAGTTGTCTTAAAAAACAGGCTTAAGCTCCACAGGATTTTGCTTTTGTTTCCCAGATGCTTATTTTTGGGGCAATACTAATAAAACCTCCACAAAATAGCCTCTAGTCCTCTGTTCCCTCCTACTTGTCTTCTCTAGAAGCAATTAAAATTGCTGTTCTTTAAAGAATGGTTTTCAGTGGTGTTCTTTGTGAGTAGAACACAAAGGAACCTGTCTTTCAGCAATCGAGAAGGCTGTAATGCTTATTGTGCATTGACCATAGGTCAATGAGAGAAATCGGTCAGAGAGAAAGCCAAATCTGCAATTCGTACTGCTCAGTCTGTTTTTAGACACATTGCAGTTTTCCCACCATAGGCACTAAGTCATGAGTAAGCCCACTTTTAGTTCTTAACATTGGATAGAACAAGGGCGATCAGAAAAGAAAAATAGGTGAGATGGAAGGAACCAGAAGAATACTTTACTTCAAAATTCCATTATACACTAATTCTTAAAGTAGCCATAGCACATACCAGATATCCTGATTCTGTAAGAAGAACATGATTTTCTTCCTGTTCCTGCACTGCTTCTTCTCTTGAGATATCATGCTGTTCTTCCGTCTCATCTTCAATCACATCTTCTAAGCTCCTGTACCATAGGTTAGAACCTGTTCTCCTTGGGATTGGCATCTGGGTGTTGCTAAGTAGTGATGATTCTTTTGCTGATTTCTGGACAGATGACTGATCTTGGGGAGGAATAGTTGCATCCATAATTAAAACCTACCCAAAAAATCAAGAACAAAGTCAGTGTCTTTAAACCTCTACTGGCACTTCCAAGAGATACCTGTTGCACTTTTCTATAGGTCTCCTGAGCATGGTAGTCCTCCAGCCTATCCTCTGTTAAGTCACTCCTTAGACCAGTTTCCAGCTAGAGTACAAGGGATTAACTTCATTGTCTTCTTCTTTTGATCCCAGGAACATCAAGTTTCACTAGCTTGACAACTTACAAGAGGGTTGCCACTTTAGATACCAACAGATTTCTGTATTTTCTGTACTTTGAGCTTCTAGTTGCATTACACCAATGTCATCCTACAAATTCTATTTCTTGAACAGCTGTATCACCCTTACAGTTTCCTCCTTCTCATGTTTTACTTGACCTGCTCAATGAGCCCACATTCCAAAGGTCTGGATCTATTGTCCTTTGAACATATCTAACTGTCAACAAAAGTTTTCCAGAGCTTCTATTAAGGCTGCAGCACTGATCCCTGGTACTTTAGTTTTCCAACTTTGCCAGGGTTATATCACTGCAATTCTGCTCATTCTGCTTAACCTCCACTACTGAAGCCTCTATGGACATAAAGACAACCTTTCAAACTCTTTGCTGCTCAGCCTATTTTATTAATATTTCAGCTGAGCAATATTCCAAATTAAGATAGCAGCAGTATACAGGGACAACAAGAATTGCTTCTAGGTGAGAGTATGCCACAAGCACAGAAGAAAAGTTTCCCTAGATCTCAGAGAATTTACTCCAAATATAACAAATGTCTTGTTATGCCGAATATTTTATAGAAATTATGGATTTCCACTAACTCCCACCCCCCACTCCAAACTAAAAAAAAAAGTGTCCCAACAAAGCCTTTTTAAAAACTTTACAAAGAAATAAAGCCTGACTAGGAGTAATTACAAAATACAACTGCAACAAGACAGAAAAATCCAGTAACTAAATTAATATTCTTAGAAGGAAGAGAACCTGGTCTTTAAATTCAAATCAGAAAGTACTGATCAACAAGGTAAACTACAACACACTTACTTTTTGGGCAATGGCAGAGAACTTTAGCACATTGAGTGTTTCATCATATGTTGAGGCACATTGGCTTATGTTTACTATCATGTGTACCTTCCCTCTTCCACTGAAGAATCCTTGAAGGTAATGAGTTAACTTACTTTCTCGAAAGGGTATGTGCTGCTGCACCCTTTAAAGGCAAAAGAACAGATGACCATAAGTCTAATAATTTCCAGTCAATGTAAGAGCTATCCAGCCTGAAGACTTTAAAATATTTATTAAAGTAGTAATCTTCAAATCAGTTAAAACTGGTTTGGACTAGATAGAGCTGTTTGTAAAGAGATTGCGTAGCTGTTGTGACTGCTGCTTCAGCCATTATCTCAGATAAGCTATAGCAATACAATCAATGAGAGCACTTAAACCGAAAGAGTG